ACAGGGAGGGACAGGAGTCTGCAGCGGGAACAAAGGAGCCGCCCTCAGTGTCTTCGGTGGGAGGTGGGAGCAAGAAAGAGAGAGAAAAGGGGAGAAGGGAGGAAAGAGGGGGAAGGGAAGAAAAATGGGGAAAGAGGGAAAGAAAGAGAAAGGGAAGAAAGGAATAATGGAAGAAAGAAAGTAAAAGAGAGAAAAATATGAAAAAAGTAAAAAAAGAAAAGAAAGAGGGAAAGGAAGGAAGGAAGAAAAGAAAGAAAAGGAGAAGAAAGAAAGGACAGAAAGAAAAAAGAAAGAAAGAAATTAAAATAAAGAAAAGAAAGCATCAATAGGTGAACATGCTGTAGATTGTCTCATCTTGCCGATGTACTGTGCAATTGCATCCTAGGTTTTCATCCCCTGTACACCTTTGGAAGGAGCTCACTATGACAGGGCAGAGTCTGAAGGCTTTATCTGAAGCGAATTTTGAAGACAATGAGATCAGCATCAACGTTGGAGGCTTTAAGAAAAAGATGAGATCCAACACATTATTAAGGTTCCCCGAGACCAGGCTGGGCAAACTGCTGAGCTGCCACTCAAAGGAGTCAATACTGGAGCTCTGTGATGACTATGATGACACCAAGAATGAATTTTATTTTGACAGGAACCCCGAGCTCTTTCCTTACGTGCTACATTTTTATAACACCGGCAAGCTCCATGTGATGGGTGAACTCTGCGTGTTTTCTTTCAGCCAGGAGATTGAATACTGGGGAATCAATGAATTCTTTATAGACTCCTGCTGCAGTTACAGCTACCATGGGAGGAAAATGGAGCCAGACCAAGAGAAATGGGAGGAACAAAGTGACCAGGAAAGCACCACATCTTCTTTTGATGAGATTCTGGCATTCTACAATGATGCCTCTAAATTTGACAAACAACCATTTGGAAACATCAGGAGGCAGCTCTGGCTTGCTTTGGATAATCCTGGGTACTCTGTCTTAAGCCGGATCTTCAGTGTCCTTTCCATAGTGGTGGTGCTGGGCTCCATTGTGACCATGTGCCTGAACAGCCTCCCAGACTTTCAGATAGTTGACAGCAATGGGAATTCCGAGGAAGACCCTCGCTTTGAAATCGTGGAACATTTTGGTATTGCATGGTTCACTTTCGAACTGGTGGCGAGATTTGCAGTAGCTCCTGACTTTTTAAAGTTTTTCAAGCATGCCCTGAATTTGATTGACCTAATGTCTATCCTTCCGTTTTATATCACTTTAATTGTCAACTTGGTGGTGGAAAGTAGTCCGACTTTAGCAAATTTAGGCAGGGTTGCACAAGTCCTGAGACTCATGAGGATCTTTCGCATCTTAAAGCTTGCTAGACACTCCACAGGTCTCAGGTCCCTTGGAGCCACCCTGAAGTATAGCTACAGAGAGGTGGGGCTTCTTTTACTTTACCTCTCTGTTGGCATCTCCATTTTCTCAGTTGTGGCTTACACCATTGAGAAAGAAGAGAATGAGGGGTTAGCCACCATCCCTGCTTGTTGGTGGTGGGCTACTGTTAGCATGACCACAGTTGGCTACGGGGATGTTGTGCCAGGGACCACTGCTGGCAAGTTGACGGCATCTGCATGCATCCTAGCTGGTATCCTAGTGGTAGTGCTTCCCATCACGCTGATCTTCAATAAATTCTCCCACTTTTATAGACGTCAGAAGCAGTTAGAGAGTGCCATGAGAAGCTGTGATTTTGGTGATGGCATGAAAGAAGTTCCGTCAGTCAACTTGAGGGACTACTATGCGTATAAAGTTAAATCCCTTATGGCCAGTCTTACCAATATGAGCAGGAGTACTCCCAGTGAGCTGAGCCTGAATGATTCACTGCATTAGTGTACAAGTTTGACAGCAGTTTGCATGAAAGCTATCAAGAGCTATGTTTGTAAATGTTTTCCTATTTGTCTTCTTTTCTTTTTCCTAGAGGATAGTGTTGCTGACACTGCACTAACTTTGCACTTGAGAAACTAAAGACATTTCTATTACAAGTTGACAGTTTGCACATTTTCATCCTGTTGCATTGGTACTAAATGCTGACTTTTCCATACAAATGTTACCACTTCCATGACATTAGTGCTAGTAGTATACTGATGATCTGTTGCTTTGTGCATTTCTTCATCTGAATGATGAGCAGAGAAATGAACGTACCCAAGTGGAATAAACATTCTCAGTTGTGACACGAGTAATGAAAATGTCACCCATCACCTATTGTGGTATCTGTACTAGTGTAGGACTTCCCATGCATTTTATAACAGTTTGAAGGAATCACCTGTGAATCACTGACACAGGAACACTCTTCCCCATCTTTCTGACTGGTAATTCTGATCATCACATGTCTGAAAACACCTCTGAGCTTCACCTTTCGATGGAGGTTTGCTTACCCTTGAGCATGTGTGTTAAAAACTGCGTGTTCTTGTTCTGAAATGTTTTGTATGGTAATATTTTTCAGAAGCTCCTAAGCATAGACCTACCTCTGCTTCCAAGATTAGGTCGATAATGAGCCCTCTGAAGAAGCACACCCTTCATTTTCAGATACCTACATGTTCAAAGACTACATTTCCACAAGTGACTCTAGGTATGGAGGCCTATGAAGACATCTCAGGTTCCCATTTCCAGAAGTGATCTGCACACAGCTTGGTTCCAGTGAAGCTGAAGAAATGCTGTATTTCAGTCTGTCAAAATGGTTCTGAGATTAGACACACAAAACCGTGGGTTTTCAACAATTAGAAGCGCCAATTAAAAACTTGGATTTGTTTAATGAGGCGAAATATTCCCACATGAACAGTACAGGCAGCATTTTAGGAACTGACATTCATATACTGCAAAAAGACTAATTATAAAGATGCCATATGTGATGTTGAGCTATAAAATCTAATTTTATCAGGAAAGCTTGAAAGCAGGTGTTGATGGCAGACAACTCCATTAAGCTCTCTGCCAAGGAAACTCTAAGGAAAAAAAAAAACCCAACCCTGTAAGTCACATTTTCCCTCAAAAAGGAATTTACAACTTACAGCTAAGGAAGAGTATAAGGGCTTAAGAAAGGAACAGATAAAGAAAAAGAGCTCAATACTGCACTCGCTGTGGGCAGATCCTCCTACCTGCTTCTGTGACGTAGACAATTTAAATCCTTTCAAGGGCTGGCCTGTACTTACTTCTTTATAAAAAAAAGACATGAGAGAGCAGATCATCTGGGTTTCCAAGAGTAATCATGAATCTGCATAAACTTACTTTGTGAGTGCTCAGTCTCTTCCCTTATGCAGTTATACAGAGAGTAAGCACTTGTGGCCGACAGGCAGAAACCACTGTTTCCCTCTCTTTGTACTTCTAGGCATCCGTGATATAAAACAACCAACTGTCACTCCGTGGGCAGAACAGGATTTCTCTTCAGATCTTGCTGCTTTTCCAGCACATTTATTACATATAATGTTCCAATTAATTTATTATTATTATTCCCCCCCCCCCCCCCCCAGTTTTCCTTGTGGAGACTAGAGGGCTTCAGAAAATAAATTCAAACTGGTTGAAGAGAAATTAAAATTCTAAAACTAAAATTGTCATGTTGGGAAACCTGTGTTTGTATACCACAACAAGGAGTGGTCCAACTGGCAGAATAAAGCAAGAATGGTATGAGTAGATAATTGCTTTTTTTGGGCTTGCTGTCCCTGAAAACCGAAAAGAGTCATATGCACAGCCCTGAAGGTAGACCTAGAGAATCCAAACTGGGTGTCCAAACTTGAAACATTTTGCTGGTGGGCAAGTTCAAGTTCTCTGCTGAGTCACAGGCACAAATTCAATAGTCTTGTCCCTGATTCATATTGCATGTGTGTAAACTATCAGATGCCTACAAACACCCACCCAAAACACAGCACAGCACTAGGTTGCCTGTTTGATTGACATACCGTGAAAGAAATTAGGGTAGGAAGAGATGGGCTTGCACAGCACATACACTCCGGTTGGGTTACATGCTGTGAGGGTGGCAAACCCTCACGCTGATGTTGCGGACACTGTGAGTTCTCTCTAGGTCTGTTGGCTGGGGGCCTTCAAGAATCCAGCTCCAAGCAGTGGTTTTATCTCAGTTCCACAAGCAGTAGATTCCCAGAGTTGAAAGCCAATGACTTTTAGGGCACTTACTTGAAGAGACCTGTAAACTTGCCAAAGAGTCACAAGTTCCCTCAGCTGTTGCTAGTTTAGTATTGCAAAGGTTGGATCCAAACTTTGCAACACATCATTTCAATAACCTATAGCTTATCTTATGTTCTAGATTTACTATTAATCATAGGGCCAATGCTCTGTCATTTCTGCAAATATTGAATGGAACGTGTCCAAATTGTGTTTTACTAAAGAAAATGAAATACCCCAAGGAATTACGACTTTTATTGTCCTGGTTGAAAGGAATTTTCATTATTGCCTTTTTATATAAGTGCTTTGGATCAAAGACACTAAATAAATAAAGTACTGAAATTTAATATGTTCCTATTATCATGACAATGACTTTACACAGTACACAGGAATTCCCTTCATAAACTTAACTAACTCCATGTTAAAAGTAGTCAGGTTTTTGCTCCCCCATCCTCCGGAAGAGCATTCCAGAGCTGTGCTGCTCTCCAAGGCTTGTGCAGCTTTCAGCATAATTTTATTAACGGCTGCTTTATATCAGCTGGGTTTTTTTCCCATGCCACCACTGTTCTTTAGCTTAAATATTTCATTTTCTTCTTAGTGTTTGCATGCAAGCTGTATTTATAGACAGCAACCATATGTCCTTAATGCTTATTTTCACAGAGTTATACCTGCCAAGCTTCCTTTTAGTTTTCTTTTTGCAAGTCATATTCCCCTGACCGTCCTAGGAGATGTAGCCTTTTTTTCTGCACTACTTCTGCTTAGATTTAATGTGTTTGAATATTATATTGTATTGCTTTGTACAGCAGTTTTAATATTTGCTTATGACTAAGAGAATTTTTCACTGACAAGGATAATGATTGTTCTCATTTAAGTGATGATGTTGTCTTGGCTCCCTCAAGATATCTCGGTAAGGAAGAATGAAGCACACCCTTCCTGCCATTTTTTTGAAGTAACCTCTATTCTAGGGCTCAATCCAGTAAGTGCTGAGAATCTTTGTCTCATTAAATAAAAGTTACAGAAAAATGTTTTCAATTTGAAGGAAAAGTTCAATCTCTCCAAAGCCTCAGCGAGGAGACGAGGTGCTGTGCTGTTTGAGCTATCATTGCTTTCACCGGACTTCTTCAATCACTCTTTGGTAAGAGCGGGGCATCTTCACTTCTATAAAACAGCGGGTCAGGAATGAAGGATGAGAGGACTAATTGGCTGCTTTCTCCAGTGATTGAAACTTGGAAATTGTTGTGGTCAGGAATCCGCTTGTTATGGATGTGCAGTTTAATGAAGAACATTGCACTTGGCACGTGCTCCTCCTGGCTTGTGACAGTCACCTTCCTGGCACTGGTGGAAATGTTGCTCCTATTCTCTTTCATCTGAGAGCTTTGAATTGCTTAAATGAGGATTATGGGAATATTTCAAACGAGGCAACTTACTTTATTGCCAGGAATAACCTGTTAGAGAATCCTGATTTCTAGTACAAATTTAGGCTATTACAAGAGTTGGAGATGTTCTCGAGAAGCAATATGTTACGTTATTTTCCTGAGATATAAAAACTATATATAGATTGTGATTAAGCTTTTTATGTATGTTCAGATTTTGTATTATTGCCTGGTTTATTATTCACTTACTTTCATCAGTTGCTAATTCTCTCT